GAACGCACCTAGTCCGAAGTCGTCTGCAATAGAAGTTGTCATTATTGCCAGCATCATCCAGTGGACTTGGTACCTTCTTAGACGTTTCACCGGCATCGAAGTCGGCTTCTTCAGTGAGTGCTGCCATTCTCCAAACCAAGAGAAAAAGTGAAGTCAATCCCTCCACCGACGTTCTGCCGAAAACGGTTAAAACATCATTCCACTTTCTATCCTGGCCTATCTATCTACTCTTTATCCTTTTATCCCACTGCCGCCCTATCACAACTTCTCACTTGTTAACATTTCACTCGTCAAAATCTGTGGCCCCATCACACTTGCTATTCACCCCGACCCCTCTCCTTTGATCGGCTGATCCGACTCGGGCCTCCAATCCGGATCCCTTCATTGTCTCGTGGATCCGTTCCTTCTCTTTCTGGTTGACCGATTTCACTCGGTTCCAGTCCCACTCTGCATTTCAGTCCTGATGCTATTTTTCAAAGCCCTAGAAACACATACATTGTCACCTCAACGAGCAGAGAACCTAGGTTCTGATTCCCATGATTGCAGATCGCAGACCTTCCCTTCACGGTTCGTCTTCTTGATTAAACCCACGTTATCTGAGCAAACTGTGGACGCCTATCTCTGGTCGCATGCGGTATCTCAAGTGGATTTTATTACATTTTAGCCATAACGCCGAATTTTCGTGACGGTTTGCTTATCCGTTGGCACAGCTCCCTGACTGCCAGGCCCCCAAAAGTTGTACTGGTTTATTCGAAATGGACATCACTCACTGACAACGTCTTCGCTTGATTTCCGAAAACTCCCGCCCCCACTTTCCTCATCACGATAGATCCTTGATCCGAGCGTCTCCTTTTTGCTGGACTTGCTCTATTCTTATTTTCCACCAGTTTGCTTAGGTAGTGGGCAAAGTTATCGCTAACGCTATCTTCCTCCAAACTCCTGTTATTCGATTTTCATTTCCAAGGATGCAATGACCTCACTAATCTTCCGCTTACTTCTCTCGGGTATCCATTACCAAGGAATATCCAAGTCAATTTTTCCCATTCTTCATGCCAGAATTCTACGTCCACTAATCATATGCTTCTGATCATTATGCTCCTTATAATTCATATCTTCATTCTCTAGTTGAGATGAGGCGAATGTTTCTGGAGAAAAGGCGCTAATAGCTCTGAAATATTGAGATAACTGGACTTGCTCTATTCTTGTTTTCCACCAGTTTGCTTAGGCAGTGGGCAAAGTTATCGCTAATGCCATCTTCCTCTAAACTCCTGATATTCGATTTTCATTTCCAAGGATGCAATGACCTCCCTAATCTTCCGTTTACTTATGTATGGAACCTTTCTTTCTGTTGCCTTCCACTTGATCTCAAATCCAGTCTGTGCGATGTGTTCCGCTAGTTTTGATCTTTCGGTATCCATTTTTCTGCAGAGGCTTTGATGTTCCTTTATTCGTATGCCAATTTTCCAACAGGTTTCGCCATTATATTTCTGTTGGCAGACGCCGCATGAAATACAGTAAACTCCTGAACAATACAATTTATCTACCCTTTGATGTTGCGTCGGTAGACTTGTGAAAAGTGTTGATTTCTCTTTCATTGCCACCTGAATATTCCATTTACTCAATATTGGCCGTAGTTTTTAAGTTAATTTTTAAGAAGGTAGGCATATCTACTTTTACGAATCCTTCATTGTCCTCACAGTTATTTCATAGTCCAGATTCTGGCATAGGCTTTTGTATCACTTCGCCTGGATAGCCATTGCTGAGCAATATCCTCATCAATTTGTCCAGCTCCTCGTCCCAGAATTCTAGATCCGTTAGGCCTAGGCTTCGGATGATCATGCTACTCATTATTCCTATCTTTAGTCTGTAATTGTGATGGGACCGAAAATTGAATATTATTTGAGCATAGGACTTCTTTCTGAACAATTTCTGTTTGAGCGTCCCATTAGAGCGAATCGCTTCAACGTCCATGAACGGTAATTGCTCACCTTCTACTTCCATCCTGAATTGAATATTTTCATCAATCTGGTTTACAAACTTCAGAAAATCTCTTCCATGTGACCAAAGTGCGAAATAATCATCCAGTTACCGCATCAGCACTACCGGTTGTAGCTGTGCCATCTTGAAGCTTTCTTCTATTTTTTTCATGTATACATTTGCCAAAAGTGGTGAGAGCTGTGATCCCATGGGAAGTCCAAATATTTGTTCCTAGATGGTTCCGTTGAAGGTAAAATAGGTTTCCCTTATTGTCAAGTAGATTAATCTTGTTAAGGAATCCCTACTGATCCGTTGTGATTCCAGGATATCATCCTCTCGGTCCAGGATTTCCAGCAGGACCGTTAGTGCATTCTCTCCAGAGATATTTGTATACATGCATTCCACATCGAAACTTATCAATAAGTCCATTTATTCCTGTGCCATGTTTTTGATTTTTTAACAAAAATCACACTAATCTTTCACCATGTTTGATGGTCTCTCATCTAATTTCTTGAGTTTCAAACATATAAACTTTGCCAATTTGTGTGTTCTTTCATACTTCTTGTTGACTATTAGCCTTAGTAGCTCGCCTTCTTTGTGTATCTTCGGTAATTCGTATGCTGTTGGTGGTCGTGCATCCTTTCTTATGATTGAATTTCTTGTACATGCATCAATTTCCCCATTCATATGCATATCTTTTAGCATTCCACTTAAGATCCCAATGATCTTCATAGTTGGGTCCTTGTTCAGCACACGATATGTGGTCCTGTCCTGTAGAATATGTTACATCTTCTCAGTATATATTGTATTTTGTCCATTATCACTGTAGCTCCTGCTCTGTCCGCCTGAAGGACTAATTGGCCATTTGATTCCAGGATTTTGCGTATCCCGACAAATCTGTTCCTTTTTGTATGCTTCTGATGGGTCAAGATCTTTGGAAGTAGTTCCATCTTCATTTCCCGTTTTGTCTCCTCAGGGAACTTGTCGGTGATATTGATAACCTCCACCAGGATGTCTCCTTGAGGATTTCTGTTATATTGAATTTAAAAAATTGAGTCCGTTTTCCTGGAACGCGGTTGTTTCGGGATTGAGAGGAACTAATAATCAGTTTAGTTCATCCTTTCTATCCTCGCGCTGAGCAGTCGGTGTTGTCACCTCGGAAGCCACTTCAACTGGGCGTACTGGCTTTAGCTTAGGCTGTCTTATAATCCCAATCTTACGCAATCTATCATCAAGCTGTTTTGTTATTAAGTCAGAGATCCTACGTGATTTCCTGTCAGTCATGCTCTGAAGCTTTTGAAAATCTTCTGGAGATAGGATCCTGACTAAATCACCCCGAAACGTCTTCGCTTCATTTCCGAAACTTCCTCATTCTCTTCTTCTTTGTGATCCCTTTTCCTCTGATCTACGATAGAGCCATTTCGCTTGTCTCGTTGCATTCTTGTTTTATCCGAGTTTAATTTTCTAATCGACAAAGTTATCGCTGACTCTGCCTTCTTCCAATCTCCTCCTCATTAAAGTTTTTCCCTCAAGGTTGTCGATAGCCTCTCTAATCTTTCGTTTCTTTGTGCTTTTACT